AGTGAGTGAGTGAGTGAGTGAGTGTGTGTGTGTGTTTGTGTGTTTGTGTGGGTGTGTGTGTGTACCATAGATGACGGCCTGCCGGTCAATCTCTCGTGAGGAGAGTGAGGTCAGTACATGCGGCTCCTCCGTCTCCTGCCAGTTCTGCGAGTCGATCACGTCCTCGTCCAGAGCCGGAGCGTCCAGCAGCCTGCAGACGCACAGCAGAGAGTGAGACGACGAACAGAGACAAACCATAGAGAGAGCTGCGCTGCGTCACCTGCGCTGAGAGCGAGGCGTGTGCGGCGGCGGCGGGTTCTCCAGCGATCTGAAATCAGTTACACAAGAACACATTACACTACAAATCAATATAGCATTTCACATATATACACACACACACAGAGATTTGTAATGTTTTTCAAAGATTTATTTGATCAACAATACAAAACAAAAATTGTAATATTATGAAATATTATTTCAAATTAAAATAAAGGTTTACTACTTTAATATACTTTAAAACACAATAAATTTCTGTGATCAAAGCTGAATTTAATCCAGTTATTCATTACTTCAGTGTCACATGATCTTCAGAAATCATTCTAATATGCTGATTTATGATCAGTGCTGGAAACTGTTCTGCTGCTTTATATTTTTTTAAACCTGTGATACTTTTTTTCAGGATTCTTTGATGAATAAAATGTAAAAAAAAAGAACTGCATTTATTTAAAAAAAATGTTTTAATAATATACCATTCAAATGTTTGGGGTCTTTTTTGAAAGAAATGTATGTTTTTTCAGCAAAGATGTGTTCAATTAATAAAAAGCAATGGTAAAGACTTATATTGTTAAAAAATATATTTCTATTTTGACTGAATGCTGTTCTTTTTTAACTTTTTATTCATCAAAGAATCTTGAAAAAAATATCACAGTTTCCCAAAAAATATTAAGCCGCAAAAACTGTTTCCAAAAAATCAGCATATTGTTAAGAATGTTCCAGGAAATGTGATTTTGGAGCTTTGCTAAAAGAACATAACATATATTATATAATGTATAATATTAACACGTGTGATCTCATTTGCTTTTGTTATAACTCTAATTCCCGTATTCGATATACTGATAATCTTTTTATTATACTTGGCAATTCCCAAATGTTTACATTTTTGGGTAAGAACCCACTACCATCAATTTCTCTGGTCGATTATAATTCTTATGTTTGTCTTTGATTGGGCATTAAAAAAATCATTCAAAAGTCAAAAATAGCTCTTAATGTTTAACCTCGAATAATCAAGTGTGTGATCTGGAGGTCTTTAAGCGCACTGTTATCCCAGTGTACACAGACTCACGCTCGTCCTCTATCGGTTGGGTTTCGGTACTGCACGCACAAAAATCACATTTACTGGAGAGACAATTTACTTTTTTCCCCCCAATTTTGATTACAATAGTATTATTTATGTTATCATACATTTGTTTGTAAAGTATCACATTTATGTGTGAAAACAAACAAAAGCCAAAGCATCTTTTGAACACTGTATCAACTAAAATAAGGATCTGCTTTGACTCTGGGTTATTATAGATGAAAAATGGTTCTTGAAATAAAATAAATGTGTGTATATATATGCATACATTTATTTAAACATTTGTATATATGTGACCCTGGACCACAAAACCAGTCATAAGGGTATTTTTTTTTAATGGAAAAAAAAAATACAACTATTTGAAAATCTGGGATCTGAGGGTGCAAAATAAATAAATGAGAAAATCATCTTTAAAGTTGTCCAAATGAAGTCCTTAGCAATGCATATTACTAATCAAAAATTAAGTTTTGCTATATTTA